AGTTTTAATAGTAGTCAATCATTTAAAAACACTAAAGAATAATAATATATATTTTATATAAAATAATAAATTTTTTTAATACTGACCTCTTGGTATCCTAAGGTCATATTGGAGCTTGATTAATTTAAAATCAAGTCGCATTAGATCCAACAAGAAGAAACTTTCCTAACATCTATTTTTTTATTTACAATACTTGAACTTAAAATTTTATTTAAAAAAAATTGAATTCTTTCCATATAAAACATAAAATAATAAATTTTCAAAGTATAAAATTCATGAAATTTTATATTTAATTAACTAGGTTATATCATAACCTTAGATATAAAAGAAAATCAAATATCATATGATGAATATAAAAGTACACAACATCATAAAACAAAATTTAAGAACAATTAAAATTAATTTGATAATATAAAATTTCAAACATTAAATTTTTTATATTGAATTCATCTTAATTGTATTCCTCTTCGTCTTCCCCTAAAATCCCCAAATCTAGTTTTGGATGAATATTTATAGAGCTTAAAAAATAATTTTAAAAAATAGGATCTGTAACAAAAATTAAAATTATAAAAATTGAAAAGATTTTTAGTGTCGACACTAATATGGAAGTGTTGTACTTCTATTCATTTCACGCCATGCCTATCTTTCAAAGGTGTACTGTGTGGTCCTGACACCACGATGCAGGTCTCGACACCATACCCGTGTCGGATTTTAGATCCTATTTCAATTTCTTCAATGGTGAAATGGCAAATCTAATTCTCCAACTTTTACACAATTAGTACTTTGATCTCGTAACTTCAGATTCATTCAATTGTGGGAAGAAAGGTTCCTTTCAAGGATGTAAATGAATGAATCAAATTCTTACACTTCAGTCCCTTAACTTTCAAAAAATTGTACTTAATTAATCCTAAAACTCTTATTATTATACATTCAAGTCCTTTCTTATATAAAGAATAAAAATGATATAAAATCTATTCAAAATCATATATTATCCATTCAAATAGTAACAAAATTAAAGCTAAAATATATTAAGCATATAAAATACATCCCGTCACAAAACATACAAAAAGATATGAAATTAAAAATGAGGAAAATGGCTTGGCAAGGTCTTTACTTGATTTCACATTCCTTGCTCTATTGGCAAGCACCCTCTTCCTAAACATGGCTTCTACTTCCTTTTGCGTGGGCAATAGAGTGCAAGGGAAATGACACGATGATTGAAGTCTTGGAGGAGTTGTTGCCTTATATTTTTGGCTATTTTTTGTTAGGGTTTGTGACTTAACTTTTATTTTCATTTTTTATATTTTATTTGTTAAAAATTATTGTTCTTATATGGATATTAAATTATTACCTATTACGTAATTTAATTTATACAAGTTTAGTTGAAGTTTTATTTATTTATTTTTGGTATTAATCTCTTGGTATCCAGTAACCACATTAAGTCTCAATTAATCTGAAATCGAGTTGCATCGAACCCCATTAGAGAAAAGTTCTCCCAGCATCTGTTTTTTCGTTCATAAGACTCGAACTCGAGATCTTACTTAAAGGGAATCGAATTCTTTCTACTCAGACCAACAAGTCATTGGTAGTTGAAGTTTTATTTATACAAGCACGTATAGTATATTAATTAAACAAGTCAAGTAGACATTTTAAGTAAATAATACTAAACCCCTATACATTGATACATATACTTAGACTATTTTTGTACCTAACATTTATTTAGTCGTCTCATAATTTAAATATAATACTTACCCCAACATTTATAATTTATAAGCAATAGGCTTCACCTCTCCCAAACAAATCCAGTCCAACCCAATGGAAGAACTTGTAAAAGGCTTAGGCCCGGACCAGCCCGAAAGAAAGAACTTTCGGGCGTATGCCCAATTCAACTGAAGAAATAGTTGACTTTAAACAAGTAGCTAAAAACCCAGCTCAACCCAATGGAAAATTTTTACACAAAGCAGGATTCCTCTGTTCATTTCTAGGGTTTTTACCAGTAATTTCCATTTCCATTTCCCTTTCCCTTTCTCTTGCGGCAGAACCCTCAAATCACCCCCTGACAAATATGGGTAGGGACGGATTCACCCTTAAAAAGAAACAGGGACAAATGACACCCAAAAGTACCGATCTACCCAAATCGATCATTATCTAACAGGTGACGTCATCATCATCACGATCTCCGTTTAGCCCGTGCCAGCGTGTCGTTTTTTTACACGCTGGATGCTAATGTGTACCAATTCTGCTCTTTTTCACACACCGTGTCATTTGCGCGTCCTTTATTTGACAATATGATTGGTGAGTCCCACTTTTTATCCCATTTTTAATCGATATTTGATGACCAATTGGTTTGCCCTAATTCAGAGTTTTCAAAGTTGAGGGTTAGGGTTCTCTTCAATTCAAAACCACAAAACCTTCAAAACCACAAAACCACAAGACTTTTCTCTCATTTTTGCAATTCCTTCCTGAAATTAGTTGAGGGGAAAAGATTGTCGTGTTTGTGAGTTTATTCGCATGGAATCTTTCTCTAATTTTGGAGCTGCTCTGCTGGTTCAAGTGATGGTGCAATGGTGAATCTATTCCTTTCCTTGAGTTTTCCATTTTAAAAACAAAAAAATTACGTAGAAATTCAAAAAAGATTGAAATTTTAGCATTCCCATTTGTTTTCTTATATTTTCCTACGTTTTCTCAAGAACCAAACGAACATTCATTACAAAATTATCTAAACCCTTGACCCATAATCAAATGCGCAGATCCAAGAAAGTTATGATCTAAAAAAAATTACCTCTGCATTCCTAGCTGAACGAGTTCGTCAATGGTCGAGTCCAAGGCTATGCGATCCTCCTTCTTGGCCAACAACTTAACCTCTTGAACCACATGAACACGCCATCCGCTCCTCAGATCCGGCGAGTACATATGCCTAATTACATTGTTTATCGACTCTCTCTCATCCTCGATAGCAGATCCAAGGTCCTCCACGAACAGCTTCACCGCCCGCCTCCGGAGCTCCCGCGCGTCAATCTCATGCGCCATAGCCCTCTGCGACGCGGTGAACAGGCAGTTCCCATCCGGCGAAACCTCACCTCCATGCGACAGCCGGAACACGACCACGGAGCCGTGATCCCCGGGCTGCTTCCAGAGAACTCCCTTGGCATGGAGCTTCTGTAGGTGCCGTCTCTGCTGGTCCTCGAGCCCAACCACATCGTCCCACGTTGCTGCCGCGATAGTTGTTGCCTCTGTCTGGTCAACGAGATCCACGGCCTCTAAATCCGGTGACTGTGGTTCCCTCCATGACACGGTCGGTGATGAAGTTTGAAAAGTCTCCGCAATGGTTGTTGAATCACAAAGTAATTTCCCCATTTTTTTCCCGAAGAGCGGAATTGGTACACATTAACATCCAGCGGGTAAAAAAACAACACGTTGTCACGGGTTAAACGGAGATCGTGACGATAATGACATCACCTATTAGATAATAATCAATTTGGGAAGATCCATACTTTTAAGGTGTCATTTGTCCTGCTTTTTTTTTGAAGGGTGGATCCGTCCCTACTCATATTTGTCAGGGTGATTCAAGGGTTCTGCCTTCTCTTGCTCTGCCATTTCAACCAGTATCGGTGGGAATAAGAAAAAAAAAAAAAGTTTTTGTTTGTTTCGGCGCCGGTTTCATTCTCTATTCTGGGTGTGTGGGATTTAACTTGGAATTGAAAATTTTTGTGGATTTTGTTCACTTCAGGACTGCGTTTTCTTCACCCATGAAGAGAGTAATGCCGTGGAGTGATGAGGTTGATCTTATCTCTTCTGATGAATCTTCTTCAGAAGCAGAGGTGGATGACAATGATGGAACCAGTAATTCGCCTACTGAGCAACCACCCCAAGAATTGTCCCCTCAAGGTACTTTCAAGACATTTGTTTCATCTCGCTTTTGGTTGAGTCTACAAATTTCTCGTTTCCTTTCCGGTTCATGTCCTCTTACTGTCTTGCTCTTAGCAAGAAAGCAACATTTGACTGTATCAATGGTAATAGTTTCTAACAAGGTAATTAGTTGCCTTTTATAACGTGGGATTTTAGATACAATCTCATCTTTAGTTCTACAAGAAGTTTGGTGGTTGTTGTGAGAATTGTAACTGTTAGGACGGGAAGCAAAAACACTAATGGCAATGGGTGCTTTAGCTGTATAATTGGCTTCTTCTACAGTAACTGGCTGAAGCAACAGATTACCAATCTTGTTCTTGTCTGCTTAATGATGTAGTATTCACTAGCAATGTAATATGTGTTGAATTATACAATTAGAATTAATTAGTAGTATTCTTTCATGGAAGAATTGTTCTTGTTTTGTTTACTTTTGCTAGTGCTAGATATTGGGTTTAAAATCAACCTAGATGGG